TGAAACATAATATCAAAGCAGAGTGACTGTGTGTATGAATTGAGTGCTTGGTGTCGAAATCGTTGATTGTATGTGAGGATTGGATTTAAATCGCAAGATGTTAATTATATAGGAAATGTTTTTAAGACAAAGTTTGAAACACTAGTGAGGAGTTCTGGTATGAGACTTGGCTATTGTTTCTAAAGACAAACCGTGCCGAATTTCACTGATGGCCACTTAGTTTATGAATATCAAGTAACAATATAGAAGTCTGCTCAAAGATTTATCGCCTTGTCATAGCGAAAAAATCACGCTAGCTGTGGAACTTAAAATGCTCATTGTAACACAGGACATTTCTCCGCACGGTCTCCACAGACGACAGTCTCTATGGAAGGCACTACAAAAAGGCGTTTTTAAATCATTTGATGCAGACAGCTTTTTCAAGCGCTACGTTTGAAACAACACCCACATTCAATAAATAATCTATGGCTTGAATGCAAATAGTAACGCAAAAAATTTTTGTAATTAGATAAAATGCTGGAAAAATAATCTATTAAGTATAATGCACGTTGCACTCGTTCATGCATCTTGGATGTTGTCTTAATGCTAACGAAAAGCTACGTGATCTCGCCTGAATTGCTGAGAAAGCGGTGCTAAGGCATTGCCGTGCTATGTCTTGTGTCTCCCAATAGCTTACCAGAAGAGGATGGTAGAAATTTGCTGATCCGGAGACGGTGGCAGGTTTGACTGGCCTAGTGCGAGATCGAGTGATCATTGCCTTGCACGTACTAAACGGCACCACGACTCTTCTAACCGCGTCTTCTGCCCAGGCAATTCATTCGTTGCGGAAATACGAGTCGTGATGTCGAGAAAGGTGGAAACGGACTACCACTTGGCGGCTAGTGATAATGGAAGCCGGCGCTCTAAAACCTAATCGAGAGGTGGCATAATAACTCAACATTGACTAGTCATCAGTGACTGTGCACTGGAAAGACATTGGAAAGCAAGAAAAGCTCGAGAATTGGGTGCCACACAAATTGACCAAGTAGCGAAAAGATCGTCGGTATAACGTTTGCTCTACACTTCATTTACACAGCAAAAACGACCGATTTCTACAAAGTGCGATGAAAAAGTTTGACAACCGACGACTCCTAACACAATGTTTGAGGAGAAGAGGACGCCCCAAACACTTCACAAAACCAGTTGTGTTTCTGAGTATGGTAATGATCGTTTCTTCTTCTTGGGCAGATGGAATAATGTACTATACCTTCGTGAATTCTTGCGAAATGACAACAGTAAAACAGTGCCGATGAAATGTAAGAAAACCTACCTCGCATGTATCCAGTAGTTAAAACAGAAGGTGATTCTTTAACAGCTCAATGCCTCATCACTTTTTTGCGCAATAAACGTCGCAGATGTACAACGAATTAGGTAAAGAAGGACTGCTTGCCACACTGCACTCACCGTATCCCTCACCAAACGGACTATTTGCAAATAGTTCGATAACAGCTAAATGGAAAGTGCCAACGGTTCTCCTTTCCTTTAGCGAAGTTGTATTTGAACTGAGTTATAATATTTCAAACCTCCATTTGAAAGAAACCATTGTTTTTACAGTGACGAATACGTGCAGAATGTAGGAAAAAAATCTGCATAGAGTAGATATATAGCCTTTGCGATGAACCAACCCATCTTTATTGCAAGTATATTGGTACTTCCGGCATTCATCCGACCTTTAATTGTCGCCTTTATATGTGCCATATAGCTTCACACTGCGCCGGTGCCTAACTTCGCGAACGAGTATCCGGGAGACGAAAGAAGATTTGTGACCTCAAATGCAGACCGCTCTGTTCGACCGATTTCGAATTGTCAGCGCTGCTAAAAGCAAAAATAATCAAATTGCCGGAAATCGTTAAGTTTCTGATCATAGTTGCGGTTAGAATCGCTCGTTTGATCCGGTACAACCGGCCGTGCCGATAGTTACAGCGTCAGTGTGCGGATAACCGGCTTTCATTATCGACTGTACCATCTGAAACCTAACCTGCTCCGAAACAACGATATTGATTCACTGACCTTGAAATTTCCAACTAGCCTACCGTGGTTTTCACGTGAGCACTTTATACCGTCTTTGAATTTACGATCTCTACTTCACTGCCGCCTTTTGTGACACTTTTTTTTCGTTTCCTGTTCTCCTAAATGCTTCTCTCAACAGTTAATGTTTCTGTGATGAAGCCTTCATTTGTTTAGGTAAATGATGTAAACAAATTTAATAGCTTAAAATGTTTATGCTTTGCGACGTAATAAACATAGCGTGCGTTTGACACTGTGGGAAGTGCCAACACTCTGACTGTCTTCGAAATTCATGAGTTCTTCAGTCTGCTTAGAAACCCTAACAAACGCAAAATTTCTCCATCACTATACACTAAAAGCAATCCCTTCGCATTGTAGAGGCTCGTATTTAAATAAAAACTGGCTATTTTTATCAGGAAATGGTAATCCTAAGTAAAGAAATCGTTCGCAACCGTAGATTTAATCGGTTTTCACGAAGATAGCACCTAAAGTTTTCTTTTGATTTTAAGAATGAAGCTATTAAAAGCGGTCTCAAGTCACAGTTCTTTCTTGTCAAGTTATATGAAGACGGAATAGCGAATTACGCGCAAATGTACTGATCGATAAGTGATATACGCTACGTTGTCCACTGCTGTCATGCTCTATCGTCAAAATGAAAGCCGGAGTAAACGCCTTAATATTCTAGAAGTTCCCTAATGGCTGTTGTTTAGTCGAGTATAATTGCGGGTGTCGTCTTTGGCTAAGGCCTTGACGTTGAGTATGCCCGTCCTCATAGCCAGCGTTTTCTTGTATGGATATGTTCGTGCGCGCGTCTGCATATCTATCTAGCGCAGTCATCGGCACCACGGTTCCGCTGCAGTAGCGCGGCATTCCGTCGACGCGGCGCTGCGGTGCGCAGCGACTTGCGACGCCCTTGCGCTCCCTTACACTCCCCTCTTCGTCCGGCCTCTATCGTACTGCGCCACCCGACATCAGCCTGTCATCTCCCCTTCTGCTCAGACGCCCCGCATTTTTGGCTCTGTGTGTTCTCCCCTAACCATGACCCCTAAGTCGTCCTCGTGAACGGCGTCCATCACTTTTCTTCTCCTGCACGCTATGATTTTGCGCTAGTGAACACGTTCATCCGTAGAAATGATTTTCACAGAATCAATATCAGACAAAGTAATCGAAACCTATGATGCTTTTCCTTAGTGTCGTTCTAGTCAAGCTACATGTTCGGTGAAAGCTACAGAGACATTTCACTATATCGTAATGCATATAAATTTTGTTCCATATAATATCCTCGTGAGTTATTGTGAAACAACATACATCTCGTCCAGTCTAGATCAATCTACCTGCTGGAATGCCGGTCGTCTTAGCTCAACCTTGGAATGGGTCGTCTTTGTAGGACTAAGTGGTCAATTTAAGAACTGGATGTTAGGAGGAAGAATTTTTATTAGTGGACTGTGAATAGCAAGCATTTGATGCAAAGCCGTTTTTGAAGATAGAAACCTCTAATCATTACTTTTCAGCGTACTCAATACGGTTTATGACTACTATTCGTCCCCGTGAGTGCATTATTTCTTGTCCTCTTCCAAGTCTAATTTTTTCGGACCTTCTCAAGAATGCTTAAATGCCTAATTTCTTAGCTACCAAAGCCACGAGTGAATGATGTTACAGTATTTTTCACTCGGATGTTTTACTAGCCCTGTGATAACATGCATTAGTAGAATACATCATCTAGGTTTATATGGTATTGTTATTCTTGTGAGAAATAGAACTCGTGCGAGTTTCCAAATTTGTTCTTACTTCAAAATGGCCGGCATTGTGTAGTTTAGGTTTTTTATAGTGAAAAACGGTACATATGATATTATGTCCTTGAATTCATTTCACTTCTATTTTCTATTGGTCACACTATTAGAAGCATCCGGCAAAGTATTTGGGGGAATGTATTCGCTATTATCTACTGGTACGTTCTTTAGAAGTTTTTCTCTTGATTATCTTCCAATAAATCAATCTTGTTTTCTGTCAGCACTATTGCCATTGGTCTTATGTCAATTGGATGATCACACATCTCTTCACTTCTCTAATTTACAACGTGGTCGATTGTTATGGATTGTCGAGGATTTCAGCGTACCGTGGATTGGATCGTACGAATTTTTGAGGTGGGTTAGGTTCAATTCAATGATCGCTTTTAGTTTTTTAAATTTGCTTCAGTTCTGCAATAAGTTCGACTTTTGAATTTATATGCTGTGCTGTTCTGAATATTTTTGTATCCTCTTGAAATTACTAACACTTGTGATCATGACGGGGCTTTGTCTTGCTAGTGGTCCTGGTCACAATCTCTGGAGGACTAAATGTAGTTTTCATCATCGCTTTCGCATCTTTGAAGTATGACCAGTATATCTATTCGTCCAGTCTTATTCGAAACAAAGCCCAGTCATTTACGAATTGTAGAAATCTTTTATCACTTCATACCATGAAACTAAGCGTGCACAACTAGCTGTTGTCAGCTCAGCGTTGATCAGCCGCTGCTTCTTCTAAGTGAAAAAAGTGAAAATGCTACTAGTACAATTCTAGAAATCAATAGCAGGTTTTTTCCTCGTAATAGAGTGCTCTGTGGTTAGCCTAATTATTATAACCCTGGTTTTCGCAAGTTCAGAAAGGCAACCCGGAATTGAACACCGAAAGGCAATTTCCATGGTGCGTAGTTTCTGATCATTTTCTGTGGGCAAAAAGCGTCCGACTTATTTCTGTATTACTCTGTAAGCAATCTGTTCCCAGTCATTTTAGTAATATTTTACGATACCAGATTTTTCTTAATGTAGTTAATCATCTTTCATATTGTGTTTGCTTTGTTTTCTCATTAATCAATTCCACAAAGGAGCCAGATTTTCTTCGTGTGTTTATTTTTATGCAACAGGTTCTGCTCTCACAGACATTCCCATTACTGTAGTCGTTGCCTGAGAAGATAGATGAGTGTCGATGACGTCATGGTTATGACAACAGGTGTTTCTCTTAATACGTAAGAAATCGATGTCAGTGATTTTGTGCGGCTTTCTGGTAACAAGAACTAAACGGACAGAAGTGAGATGGGTGCGTACTTGTGCAAGTATAGCCACATTCAGTGTTTGTGTTCATAAGTGAACAATAAGTCGCACTGAGCACTTGCACACATTTCGTCCGTCACCATCTGCACGAGCACACTTCAATGTTGGAGCGAATCGCTTCCACTACACAAATAAGGCGAGCAAGCTCGGATCGACGTTGACTTGCGGAAGTGGGCTTTCTCTGCCACTCCATCACCAAAACTCTCTAAGATATTAAGCCGGTATGTAAGCAACAAATGAGTTCCATAAGTCGGCGTGCACACTAAGCAGACAAGGAGCACGAAAACGTGTTTAAATGAGCCATTTATAAAAAGTTTCCATTCGTTGTTTGGGATAAAGGTATGGTACGAAGGTGGAGCAGCAAGTTAAGTTCACCATTTTGATAGAACTTTGGATGACTCAGAGTTCCACTTTGAAAGCAGCACATATTAGATGTGTTTTTGCAGTAAATTTTGTCTTAATTTCTCACGAATGTCGGTGAAAATAGCTCTTATCTATGTTCCTCTTTAACACGTAACATCAGACGTGCGCTAATCCAAGTACATTTTTCAAGTTTAGAGCAACAGAGTTCAACACACAGGAAGCGTTATTATGTGTATTGGACATATTCTCCACATCTTTGGTAACTGGAACCATTCCCTTATTTTGATATAATGCAATGCTAATTTTTTGGAGCCTTTGAAACTGATTCCTTCAACTTTTTTCCTCGAGGTTCATATTTCTAGCATGAACGCAATTGAACAAGAAGGATTTCGCATCGTTGGTGTTTGCGGCTGTAGCTTCTGTGTTGGCAGATAATTGTAAAATCTAAGCTATATTTCAAATTTTTTAAAAATTTTGGATCTAAACTATTTACATAATTACTTTGATTCTAAAAACTTTCGTTTATGCTCCGCATAATTAGTCAGTATTCTATTAAGTGGCTAAGCAAACACGAGGTTCTTATAAAAGCTTGGGTTCCACTAACGTTTCAACTTCTCCGCCTTCTCTTTAGGAGAAACTTTGACCAGAGCAGGATTGGTCAGAGTCGATGGTTCAGAGGTGGTCGCCCCCATGATGTGGGTGGGTATTCATTGCCTCATTTAGACCAATCCAGTGAAGTGGAGCCTCTGCGGACCGTCGACTCATTGTCACTCGAGCTCTAAAGAAGATGAAGACATCGAAGCATTAACCCACAAAGTTTTTTGTAACGATCTCGTGCTAGCTTTATAATTTCAGGGAATATCGTTACTTTTATAAAAATTACATGTATTATATACGTGTACACAGAGGAATAGTGCAAAGCTTCTCCTACAAATTTGTGAAGTTCTCAACCTCACATAATGTCATCAAGAAATTGTCAGTATTTCTTAAAAAATCGCATAGCCCGTTATTTGTTGACGGAGGTCCAACTAGAGGTCACAGTCGACAGATTTAATGGTTCCAAAATATTTAGCTAAACAATATACTTGTATAGTTGAAGGCGGTTGAATGATTCATGGGAAGAGGTTTGCTTGGTCTCATTTTGCGAATACAAAAAGGACCAGAAATCTGCAGAAATTTATGATAAAAAAAGTTAATAACTCCTAGAATTCCGTACTTCGGTTTTGAGTGAAAAAAGGGAATAATCGAGAAACTTCTTCTTTTACTTGCCTTTCATGTACTTCGAACTTCAATCTCGATGATGAGGATGTAGTTGTAGAAAGATGCTTTCTCAATTAGCGACCAATGTGCCTCCATATACAACCCTCTATATCCACCAGTGTTTTTTTTTTTAATCTTTCCTAAGAGCTGTTCTTTTCCCACTTTACGAAATATACTTTAATTCACTCTACTCTTCAGCCGTGTTAGAGTGCTAGACAAAAGACGCTCAATCGTTAGAACGCACTACTTCCGCCTACGTCATCAAACTGGGCAGTCGTGCTCTTCCGTATTCAACACCTACGCCGTATTTATCAAGCAAATAAAACCCTCCTCATGAATTTGTTCTGTGTTATTTTAAAGCTGTGCCTCAAATTATTGGTACTTATAAATGTATGTATCATATTTGAACATACGGATTTTTTTAGAACTGGCTGAGAGACAAGCGAAACGAAGGACACGTATAGTGTGGTGGTGAACGCGTTACTCCCAGGAAAGGACAATAGCGCGTTCGTTCCCCACCGCAGACACCTGTGGTCCGGAGTTTTGCAAAATTCTCAGGATCATTGAAGTTATATTTCTCAATATACCTTGCCATTAAAGAGAATAGGCAGTAAATAAAAAGGTTAAGATACGGATTTTTATTTGCCGTATCATGTCACATTAGTGTTATTTTCTTGGATCTATTCTATCAATGAACTTTTAACTACAGCGATGCAGACATATTAGCAAAACTTGGACGCCGGGCCAGATCGAACCACGACTTCTCTTTCCGGGGGTTCGCGCATTATACACTGCGCCACGGAGACCCTTGCTCTGCGTTTCTCTCACCTAATTTTCAAGAGACTCCGTGGCGCAGTGTTTAATACGCAAGATCCCGGAAAGGGAAATCGTGGATCGATCTGGCCCGTGTGGGGGTCCATGTTTTGTGAATATCTCAGCATCGTTGTGGTTATAATTCACATCATACCCCGCCGTGACGAATTATAGTAGGAAGAAAATAAAAGTTCAATGATGCTGAGATATTTGCCAAACTCCCGACTTCAGGTGTATGCGGTGGGGAACGAACGCGCTATTGTCCTTACCGGGGAGTAGCGCACTTCACCCCCAAACCATCCGGGTCCTTCGTTTTGCCTGTCTCTCAGCTAGTTCTATCGATCATTTGCCATCAGCAATCATCCGTCAACGGGGTTGATCTGGGGGGCCCAAATGGGCAACGAACCCAGTTAAACTGAGGCCGCAGCTATAATCACAATTTAACGTATTATTTACCGCCTATTCTTTTTAACGGCAGGGTATACATTGTAAAATATAACTTCAATGATGCTGGTGTGGTGGTGAAGTGCGCTACTCCCCGGTAAGGACAAAAGCGCGTTCGTTCCCCACCGCTTACACCTGCGGTCCGGAGTTTTGCAAATATCTCAGCATCATTGAAGTTATATTTCACAGTGCATACCCTGCCGTTAAAAAGAATAGACAGTAAATAATACGTTAAATTGTGATTATAGCTGCGGCCTCAGCTTAACTGGGTTCGTTGCCGATTTGCGCCCCCCAGATCAACCCCGTTGACGGGTGATTGCTGATGGCAAAAGACCGATAGAACTAGCTGAGAGACAGGCAAAACGAAGGACCCAATTGGTTTGGTGGTGAAGTGCGCTACTCCCCGGAAGGAACAATGGCGCGTTCGTTCCCCACCGCATATATCTGTGGTCCGGAGGTCCGGAGTTTTGCAAATATCTCAGCATCATTGAAGTTATATTTCACAATGTATACCCTGTCGTTAAAAAGAATAGGCAGTAAATAATACGTTAAATTTAGAAAATAAAAGGTTAACATTATAAACTTTTATATTGAAGCTTAATAGTAGTAACTTCTAATAACAAATTAGCAACTGTTTTTATCGGCAAATTCTTGTCACCCCTACAAAATGAAGTTTTAGAACTTTTTTCAGATCGCGATCTTCTTCACAAACAATTCTTCTGACGGTATTCGACAGTTCTACAGGACAAACATTAGGAGAGTGTTCGGAAACATCAGAAGAAGGTTGGTTCACTTGCCCCTCTTCAATATTTTTTTTAACAGGTGCTAGAATATAGTTTTCCCACTTACCTTCTGGGCTTTCATAGTACTTCGTAACTATAAAAGAAAGGAGTAGGGAATTATAGAAGTAATTCACTGTTTAAGATGAATGTGTCTACAATTCTTAATTGTTGAGTGTACAATATTTTTCTTTGAAAACGCATATGTTAGGGATAGGTGTGGTATAAAAGCAAAGGCATTGAAAGGATTTTTCGAAATTTTGCATATAAAGGATTTCTATGAGAAAATTACCATTATGAGATCCATTGAAATTCGAATTTGTGGTGCCTAGGGCGATGTGGCTAAGATAACTTCTTCGTCTACAGTATTTGATTTGTAGTCTTCAGATATTATAGGTGGGTAAACCGTTTATCAGCATCTGATACTTCTCCGAAGACACTTTCTGAGCACGAAAATAGAAGGTAAAAAGATGGTGATGCTTTCGTAGAAGTAGCAATCTAGCTGATTAGGTGAGGATTATGATGGAACTGTATGTTGCGTATGTCCCCTTAAGAGAATGTCCGCTTAATAAGATCATAATCTTCAGTGTGACTTCTCACTAGCCGGGGTTGCGGAGCATAAGGAAGAAGCTAAACTCGTTTTAATGTACTTCGACATTTTTTAAAATAAAGACCATTCAGCTAAAATCTGTTAGAAAATCTCTGATCTGGCTACTCTGAGGTGAGGACGAGCGTAGATATAAAGGTTCAAACATCATAAAGTATGATCTGATTTGGTGGAACGGCAGCATAATTCTGATCAAGTGAAATCATCTTCTGATTATCTTAGAGCGAATCTCGAGTCGCCAAAGAAGAATTTGCTTGTAACTCTAAATTAAGGGAATTTGGCTTTCTATCCAAAAAAACTTTTGCAACGGTCTGATGGAACTTGTTATATTCTAACAGAAATTTTTAAACATTATTGTGCTTTTCATTGATGGTCAATGTGAATTAAAAGTTCTTGTTGATTAGTTGATTTGTTAATTTGTTATACTTATTCTTTTAATTACTAAAGCCACTAGTGGGTTGTACTCACTCAGCTCTGTTGTTAAAGAAATAACTGCTGTGCTTTCCTTCCTTATGCTCTTCAAGTATCAATTTGCAGCAATTCAGTGGACATTATTTCAATGGATTCTCAAGTCAGATAGTATGTTGTGCACAATTTTACCAAATAATTCTTCTCATGTACCGTTTCCTCACTCAAATAGACCACGCACGTTTTCCGTACGACTACATGCCAGTAAGTCTATTTATCGTTGCTATTATGTAAATGTTATCACGCTTTCATGCTTTCGTACTAGGTGTTACATATATTTAGTACTAGGTAATGAACGTGGTCTATTTTTACTCATATTAAAGATCGTGGTCCCGTCTGTATTCGTGATCTACGAGTACAAGATGAACGTCCTACTGGATGTCCTCCTCACTTAATCAGTAACTCATTCAAATCCCAGTTTCTGAACTGTAGCTGTCCATTTAATGTGGACAATAACGAATCTGGTTAGTACAGCAGGTACAAATTGACCCAAACTGCTAATTCCAAAGTTCCGATGAAAAATATTTCAACCGTTTAGTGTCCAAGGTTCCACAGTTTCCAACACTTGAGTTGGTTGGGACGGAACGGAGTTCTCAAGCACCAGCTCTATCGTTACCGATCATCAGCTCCTGTGATAATTTCGTATGCCTGAACAACGGAACTTGTGTTATCAATCAGAAGGGATCGGTTCGTTTTCTGAAGTTTTGCTGCTGTTGCTGTTTTACATTTTCCTCTTTCCTTTCAGTGCTCATTCCGTTTTCTTTCGTGTTCCATTTTGCTTGACTGTTTTCTGTGTGCAGGGACGAATACATTGGCGAAACGGGCAGGCCCCTCTGTGTCCGCGTAAAAGAACACCTAGCCGGCAAACGTCAACCAAATACCCCACTAGGCACGCATAGGACCCAGAGACATAACGGGGAGGACCATGAAGTACGTGTCACGATCACAAGAATCGAGAACACAAGCGCGCAAAACTCTCGAGGCGTTTTGGATTAATCCCAGAAATCCGAAAGTGAACCGCAAGGAAGAATGCCTCATTATCACGCGTGATATTGGACAGTATTTAAACCTGTTATTCTGATGGGAGGGGCACATTACGTTTCCATGTAAATTCTGTGCGGTTGGTCTCCACGCGGCATACTCAGTGGAAGCCTCATAGAAAGCGGTGAGTGTGCAAAGACTCTGTGTTTAATATGATTGAAATCTTGGTTTAGCGTTTTTCCTGTTTGGTTATGGAGGTGTTTGGCCGAATAGATAGCTGTCAACTTGACCTTTCCAGACTCTGACGAAAGCGAAATCCGCCGAAACGTCAGCTTATTCGTGAATAAAGGATAAAAATAACACCTCGCGTTTCCTGAACAAGAATGCGAAGAATTACTTGATTATTGCAGGGCTTAATAGAAAGTCGGTCGTGGGAGTTACACTTTTATGTTCGATAGCAAACCTCTTCTTGTACTAACACTTAGACATTGTTTCTCTCGCATGACTTGTTATGAAAAGGGATTTCTTCAAATTTATAAAAGTCGCTTTTGATGATTAAAGGAGAATTTTCTCAGGCATTATTAGTCATATTCACTACACAGCATTAGAACATGTGCACAATTCATGGAATTTTTTAGTTCGTATCACCATTTTAGGCGGCTTGTCTTTGTCAGAGTGGTTTTACTGGAACTGCTTGTGAAGTGGACCTATGCTCGGAATCACTCTGTCAAAACGGTGGTAACTGTCGGACAAATGGAGGACAAGTCTACTGCGAGTGTCCACCTGCCCTTACTGGTGTTGTGTGCGAATCGGTACGAGCTGATGGAGCTCTAATTCTAGATAACCATGCAATTTAAAACGCTTCTTGCAGGTAATAACAGCATGCGATCCTCCATGTATGAATGGCAAATGTATTAGGGAGAACGGAACGACCCATTGTGACTGCGACTATGGATTCATTGGCGTACTATGCAATGTAGTAGATGTTTGCCTCAAGTATGCTGTTTCGTATTCAAACTATTTATAGTAGCTTTTTACGAAATTTGGCTTGTTGTTAGTAAAGTTGTAGTACCCAGCTTCTTCAGTTTTCATCGTCCTATCATTTCGCCAGAAAAGAATGTTTCCATAGTTCGAACTGCAATGTGCTGCTGGTTTCACCCTCAAGCAGCGTCTTTCACTTTAAGAGAGGTTGAATCTAGTTAAGAATAGGACCATGCCAGAAACTGCAATCGTGTTAGAAAAAACCCACCTGTTAGGCAACAGACTTCTTTTCCTTCGGCAAGAGCCAACCACTGCTTTTTGTGACGACGGGTAAAGGTTCTTATTTGCAAGGTCACCTCGCAACGCAACACAACTAAAATACAAATTCCGCAAAGCAGACCACCATGCTTGGGAAGAAGCTGTGTATAATTTACTTATTGAGTAAACTTCCTTATCAAAGCGGCGCGAAAGAAAGGCTGTAATATTATTATTACTTGGACCTGGACACAGTCCTGAGTTTTCGGGCTGACTTCTAAGCAATGAAGTGGATCACCTGTGTCACCTCTCCTCATTTGACTGTCTGCTGAATGGGCTGGCAGCACTAATGTCAAAATTTGTCCTGGTAGCTTAAAAAGTGGTTTATTAGGTTTTGTTCCTTAGAGACAAGTTCAGAAAGCTATTTTTCGGATCTTCATGAAGATTTCTCACCATCGTATTGGCCATCGTTCTTTTATGCGCCTAGAATCTCGTCGGATCCAGTTGCTAACGGCTGTTCGCCGTGGATTGTCGTAATGACGCACTACTTTTTTCACCAATTTTTGATATTTTAGCTCATATAGGGCGTTTCCGACCTTTGGTGGCTCACATACGTCGAAAATTCGGATTTCTTCTATAATATGCATGATAAATGCTATTCTTAGAATCGCCTCTCGATTGCGCATACTATAACGCTGAATGGTATGTTATCTTTACCATATAGAGTTCAGTTTTCCAATGTGGGTGCTTAGACAGGAAGAGTCACACAGCCAAATAAAAGCTAGAACGGAGACCAGTATTCTCTGTCGTCGTCACGATTTTGCCGATGCTCTTGAAAGCTTCCCTATCCTCTCGCTTTTCCTTACTTTTTGACCAGGTCGTTCATAGTGTTCATTTCGCCACCCACGTATGTATAGGCAAAGAATTCGAGAATATTCGACCAAGCGTGAATCAACAATTGAGATCGAAACCTTGTCTCACGAACAATTTTCCAAGAAGCGCTGCTTATATCGGAGCATTTTTTTCTCCCTAAATAATCTTTGAGGTTATAAGAATAACGTCATCAAGAAGCTGAAAATGGAGTGCAACCGGCGGTTTCATTCCTAGCATATTCCATTCAAGTGACCTCTTCTCTCTCAACCGAGACAGAAGCCTTTTTAAACTTTTTGAAAGTCTGTGTTATTACTCCGTGTCTGGTTTACCAGACCGCCTGTCATTGAAGCGGAATCAATACGTGAATTGAAATCAAAATTTACGGTCCATGAATCCGCTCATGGGACATGAAGCATTGGTTTCTTCAGATTATCGTTCTATTGTCCAATCTCGTCACATTTCTTCCACATCTTTCTATCTTTTACAAACACGGTATGTTCTTCTGTGTATGTTCCCGCGTTCGTGGACACCTCTTGTGTGTGATGAAAAAAAAATCTTCCATTATGTAACCGTAATGTTATTAGCTTTCCGGATAGTTTTGTGTGATAACATAATTGTATTTTTGTGTCTCTTTCATGGATTTTATTGCATCGATTCCATCCCACCGTCCGAAACGGTCTTTTACAAGTGCAACTTAGAATACCTGTCCATATAGCAGCCCCAGAACAAAATCTGTGTCCGATAAGCTATCGATTAACAACAAAGAGTCGTGAAAATGTTATTTGATCAGAAAGTAATATATCTACACAAAAATATTGAAAGAGTAGCAGATTTTCTAACACTGTGCACTAAATAGCTGCTACAATACAAAACGTACAACCTGTTCGCGACGGCGGGTATTTTCGCGTGACTGCTCGTGGCGTGTTATGGGAGCGCATTTAGGATGCGCATTGAAATAAGGATGTATAGTCCAAAAGGTACATCAACGTACATTTCGAAATCAATGTGCATGGTCGTGAAAAGGTCAAGTCGTTAAAGACAAGGAAGAGCGGTCGCAAATATTCTTTCGAGACTTCGTTGAATCTCGTTACCGTTTGAATGTGACCTATCGTAGTAGACCCCACTTGCTCGCATGGTTGCCCTTTGTCTTCTATTCCGCTAATCTGTTGAGAGGGAATGAATTGGGAAGTTTGTATACGATATACAGCAGGCAAAATGGCGGATGGTAGCGGATATCGTGGAGTTCTCAATTCCTGTGCGACAACGCCGTACTGCTTGTTCCTTATCGACTGGTGCTTGTGTTACTGCAGGTAGCGTGAAAAACAAATACATCGCAGTGGAAGCCTTGGATTATTTTCTTCATTGCCTTTAGAAATCGCAGCCAACTCTTTTCAAGTGCTAAGGCTGATGACCTAGGTTGTGTAACTAACTAGATGCAGATGCTGTTTCCAAACTTTTCAACTTCATTTAGTTCAGCAGCTCTTCATTTCCCCATTTTTTTCCTTTTCTGCAAAATTTCATACGTTCGAACCTGGATAAATGATTGTGTTGTTAGCCACACGGCTTGTGCCAATTCGTTTTAGAACATCAGCTCGAGTGTTTTTGAAACGAGGAGTGTTTTTGAAACGAGGAGTGTCTCGGTATGATCTTGCCAAATCCCAATTTACTGTGGTTTCGGCATTTCAATTTGCCTTGCGCAAAGCGGGTTGTGGCTCAACCCTATGTGAAACTCCGGGACAACAGTGGAGTCTAAGCAAAACATTTGATTTCCTATTACGTTGTTTATTTCTTTACGGTATTTCTCACTGGAATATTCCCATGTCTTCTAGTGAGGAGAATAAGGGATTCGGAACTGTTAGTCGCTGTGAATGATCTTGCTCAACAACCAGTCTCCGCTTTCTTATGCATCCCATTTCGTGAGTGCGGATATGAAATTCATCAAAAGTTGGCCTTAATATAATTTATTTATCTGTGTAATATTTAACCAAAAGGTACAATATTGGAGCCCTTTCTGATTCAGATCGTAAGTTGTTCATGGGAATCATATTTATTGTAACGTGACGATACCAACATTAGGGTTGCTACCACCCCGTCTCTACAGCTATGATCTTCTCATTTATCAAATACTCCGAATATTCCTCAGTAAGAAGTAAGAAAGAGTACTTCTTCGGTATCATAAACGGCTTCAAATGGACGAATTCTTTTCATTTTGATCGCTCCGTTGACGTCGTATTTAATCTTTTTATCAGGCATCGTTAAATCCTCAGTGGAGGTTTTGAGATGCTAGTGTGGATGCACAATAAGTACAGGTCGTCAACTTAGTGCTTCCGTGCTTAGGCTGCTTGAAATGAATCTGAGATTCTATCGTCTGCATCAGAGGAATGATGACCCCCCATTTTGCCGTTTTTGGCGACTAATACGCAGAAGTCCTTGTGGAGGTGTTAAATGAGAGTTGAATGTCCCCTTTAGCTCACTTGAGGTTTTTCCCACAGTTTTTGAGGAATTTCAATTTTTCGAGCCCACCGTATTATTCCCAGCCTTTTGCTCTCAGGTCTTTGGTTGAGTTTACTTGTAGGATAGGATACGATCTGCTGAACAGCGAAGTCATCCACGCACCCTTGCATTATTTTTTAATTATTTTATTTTATTTTATTTGATTCGTCTTCACGTCCACCTTGCGAATCCCAACACTTCTCACATTCATGTCGTTGCCTCGCATTCATCATCCACCAAGATCTTTCAACTTTACGTGTGGCTTCGGTTGATGCTTGAGGATTTTCATTTCATCGACATAGAATGCTGATTGAGCAATTCTCCTTGGAGTCCTGAGAGTCGGGCTGGAGCGTTCCCAATTGGATTGCAGGAGTGACTTTACCAAGACAAGTCTGGTACCAATTTCTCGACTCTGGAGGGATGAGGGGCTTGGTTGGCCCGGAGCGGAATCCAGCTAGCACCATGCTCGTGATGACGGGCATCACTACCACTGTGCTATCCGCTCTCTGATTGCATGTTTATAAAACCTAAAAGAATAAAGCGTTTGTAGTTGATCAATCCTCAGGGATGCGCCATGCATTCGATTTCACCCTACGGACCACAGGTACCTGCGGTGAGGATCGGACACGTAGTTACATTTGCGGAGAATAACGCTTCCACCACCACACCGTGCGTGTCCTTCGTTTCGCCCTTCTCACAGCCATGTTTTATAGTCACCATTAACAGTTACCCATCAACGGGCTTGATCCGAGGAGCACAAATCGGCGTTGAATCGAGTTAAACTGAAGCTGTATTAAAAGTGACAATGTAATCACTTTCGATTTACTGACTATTTGTTTCATGACAAAGTATGTTGTGAAACATAACTTCAGTGATGTTCCCCACATCAATCTCGTTGATGGATGATTGCTGATAGTACCTATAATACGCGGTTGAGTAAAAGGCAAAGCAAACGACCAGCATGGGTGGTGGTGAGCGCTTTAACCCACGGAAAGGGTAGCAGCGTGTTTGATCTCCACAACAGGCAACTGAGTTCTGGTGTTTCGCAAATATACCAACATTATTGTAGTCATATTTCACAGCACACCTTTCCACGAAAAAAAGAATAGAGAGTACATAGGAAATGATTGCATTAAAAAGTGAGTGCCGCTCTTCTCAAACCGGTCCGGTGCCAGTTTGCTTAGCCCGGATGGATCGGAAGCTTTGTGAGTCTGCTTCACGGGTTCGAGCCAAGCACCACATATGTATTGCATTATTAGTGCATCCTTAACCATTGCTCTACCACACGCGTCCTTTCTATGGATATATATATATATAAATATGTAATAAATATATATACATATATCTGTCAATATGGAAGGTATAACTCTTTGTATGTGAATATACCTACACAAATGTGAAAGATTTTTACTCCGACGCCGTATATATAGGAAATTCGCACCCTGATCCTACCTACGTCTTCGGAAAGTCCACGATCACTTTTGATCCGCTTTTAAATGTTTATCCTCTACTTCGGTAAGGACCAAGTAGCCTGACAAGATCAGGTGATAATTTCTCAATGAGAGGAATCCGCGGCAGCGCGCAGGTAGCAAATTTTAGAGTAAATCTGAAACCTATTTTACCTACAGTACTTTTGTTGTTCAAAGTTCTACATCTTCACGATGGCATGACCCTCTTTATTTATGGTTTGAGCGGTTTCAAAGTATAACGGAAGATTTTGTGAAGTCAGTATACAGGGATGCAGTTTGTGACATGTTTGGTCGGCATGCAAAATGCGTTGTGGATGAGTCCAACTTCATTCCAACATCTTCAATGCTCTATAACGCGACATACAAATGCCGATGTCTACATCCGTTCAATCGAGGTGACACTTAGCGTCTTTTTTTCCACAGATACTCATTAGCGTTGTTTTTTCTAGGATTTGTTGATTGTCTCACTCTGGACCTTTCCACACCAGCGTTCGAGTCTATCTCGAATGGTTCCCCTTCTGGAACGATGTCGACCGCTGGAATGGTGGGTATAACGTCATCGTCGCCAAATACTGACACCACTATTTCGCAGCATGAAATAAATGGTATGTTGCATTTACTGGTCAAAACGAACGCTCTTTTAGAAAATCTATTCAATTATGGGTTAACATTTTTCCAAATCTATCGATTTAGATTTCGCTGAACGAAAATGAGAACGAACCTTTTACAAAAAGTGTTAGCAAACACATTCGATCTCTTTGATGTTCAGTAACTTAAGTGTTCTTCAGTGAAGAAATGACCCGAGTAATACAACGTCACAGTGAGATAATCATTACACAGTTGTGACACAATTTTAAGATCAACCACTATTTTTTCCTCAATCTACCTTTTAATATTCCGTTTTCCTAAACCACTAGACTACATGAATTGCATAGTAATTTAGGATGGTAAGAAATAGTTGCGACTCAGCAAGAAAAGATGTGTCATATTGAAATACGATAAAGCTCTCGGCATTGATCAATCCCTGAGGGATGCGCCGTGCATTCGACTTCATTACGCATCGTTTGGTGGTGATTGGATGCATATCGGACCATTACAATGACTCGCGGTGGCCTACCGATGTATCGAGTCGGTGATGCTATCCTCCCAGGCAAGTCTGGTACCAATTTGCCGACTCCGGAGGAATAAAAGGCTTGTTGGGTTATGCGCGCGGGGATCGATTCCACGTGTGTGCCACAGGGCGCCTCCGACCACTGCGCCACATGCACTCCTTGCATAATATTCTAGATTTGTATAATATATCATGTCAGTTTTAAATGCGCCACCATGCTAATCTAGGTATACCTCTTTTGACGTCAATACCATTGACAGAAATAGTAAATAGTATGTAATAACATGAATTTATGGACTGCTATAATAATTTACCATGCCTGATATTACGTAATTATATATATATATATATATATATATGTATACGTATATATATATATATTGCTACAACTTTTTGTTTGTAGTGTTCGCGCTTATATTGCTCGTCCTTATACAACAGTTGTTCTTACCTTTACCGCTGTGATGTCATTAGACCTTCGAAACGTATTGGTTCCTAAATGGCGATTCCGTTTGCTTCATGTTGTGAATATCTTATTGAAAAGCAATTTATCTGAGTATTTCTTACATATTTCTTGTGGAATATTTCGCTAAGAAGTGATAGGTTTGAGATTGAGGACATGAAGTGTGTTCCTCTTATTAGATTAAAAGTTTTGAGCACGTAATCAAATAAGCACCGTCTACATAATGCATCCGCATATTTGAGATCCATTGCTGGTGACGACGCTTTCATCGCTGACCAGAGAAACCGAGATGAGCTCTCTTGTAAGTTCTTTCGATTGTCTTGAATGAATTTTCTAGTATTTAAGGTCTTATGTATCCAACATATTTTATTCTGCCTTGCAGACATCACCTATTCGTGTGGTACCCAGTGTGATTCCCCGTACCTCAACTGCTACATCTCAATTTTCCACCACCTCAGATTCGGGTATATATTTAACCAAAGCTTTTAACACCGAATTTCCAAATTCTTTAATTCATAGCATGAATGTATTGGCAATTACTAATAATGCAGTGAATAAGTACCGGAAAAAGTTTTACGTAAGCATTTCACATTTTCTGCAACTAGAGACGGCCATAGATGAGGTATAAGAGAATGAAGTGTTTTGATAAGGTGTAATTTTTTTTGACGCTTCATAGTACGTTTTTAAAGTGATGGCAACGTCATTCGTCGACATTCTTCGGGTGAACGATTCGGATGCAAGTCGAAGCTCTATTATCCCTGCCATCCACCCCAATTTTCACACCAATCGTCCGGTGAGACTGGAAATGGAAAATGGATCCAGGGCTACTGCACCTTCATCAAAGATTGTGAGTTCGACAGAGTCTGCTAATTGGCTCTGCCACTTAATGCTAATTGTAATTGAATGCTTATTATCTACAACCACATCAGTTAATAATTCAATTATTCGTTCACTTTTGCTCGTCGTGCAAAACAAAACATACTTGCTATTGATCCCTTTTTTACGCAGTCATTATATATTAAGGTAGGTTATTCAATAGATTCAGTTTTTATTTTCTCCAGAAAAACTTAGCTCTTAACAGTGATGAGGTGTTCCTGGATTCTAGCCTCCTATATACATGAGGCTGTTCAGCTGCAAATAAGATCACCCAAACTGAAATGGTGCATCGTGTTTTCATCTGGGAACACAACTAAGAGTAAACCCTACACCGAGAAATATCTTTAAGCATGAAAGAATCTGTTGATATAGTGGGAAGTTTTCCTTAGATCGACAAGAACTGGTAACTGCCTTTGGTGTAGAACAGTGGACTCTCCGTCACGATAACCAGTAAGGCGAAAGTGTTTGCTGCGGAACATAAGTGTCACATATCTTATTCTTCCCATGAACTTACATTGTTTATTAGGGGGTGGGAAACACAGTGGTAGTGATGCCCGTCATCACGAGCATGGTGCTAGCTGGATTCCGCTCCGGGCCAACCAAGCCCCTCATCCCTCCAGAGTCGAGAAATTGGTACCAGACTTGTCTTGGTAAAGTCACTCCTGCAATCCAATTGGGAACGCTCCAGCCCGACTCTCAGGACTCCAAGGAGAATTGCTCAATCAGCATTCTACGTCGTTCAAGGTGAAATGAAAATCCTCAAGCATCAACCGAAGCCACACGTAAAGTTGAAAGATCTTGGTGGATGATGAATGCGAGGCAACGACATGAATGTGAGAAGTGTTGGGATTCGCAAGGTGGACGTGAAGACGAATCAAATAAAATAAAATAAAATAATTAAAAAATAATGCAAGGGTGCGTGGATGACTTCGCTGTTCAGCAGATCGTATCCTATCCTACAAGTAAACTCAACCAAAGACCTGAGAGCAAAAGGCTGGGAATAATACGGTGGGCTCGAAAAATTGAAATCCCTCAAAAACTGTGGGAAAAACCTCAAGTGAGCTAAAGGGGACATTCAACTCTCATTTAACACCTCCACAAGGACTTCTGCGTATTAGTCGCCAAAAACGGCAAAATGGGGGGGTCATCATTCCTCTGATGCAGACGATAGAATCTCAGATTCATTTCAAGCAGCCTAAGCACGGAAGCACTAAGTTGACGACCTGTACTTATTGTGCATCCACACTAGCATCTCAAAACCTCCACTGAGGATTTAACGATGCCTGATAAAAAGATTAAATACGACGTCAACGGAGCGATCAAAATGAAAAGAATTCGTCCATTTGAAGCCGTTTATGATACCGAAGAAGTACTCTTTCTTACTTCTTACTGAGGAATATTCGGAGTATTTGATAAATGAGAAGATCATAGCTGTAGAGACGGGGTGGTAGCAACCCTAATGTTGGTATCGTCACGTTACAATAAATATGATTCCCATGAACAACTTACGATCTGAATCAGAAAGGGCTCCAATATTGTACCTTTTGGTTAAATATTACACAGATAAATAAATTATATTAAGGCCAACTTTTGATGAATTTCATATCCGCACTCACGAAATGGGATGCATAAGAAAGCGGAGACTGGTTGTTGAGCAAGATCATTCACAGCGACTAACAGTTCCGAATCCCTTATTCTCCTCACTAGAAGACATGGGAATATTCCAGTGAGAAATACCGTAAAGAAATAAACAACGTGATAGGAAATCAAATGTTTTGCTTAGACTCCACTGTTGTCCCGGAGTTTCACATAGGGTTGAGCCACAACCCGCTTTGCGCAAGGCAAATTGAAATGCCGAAACCACAGTAAATTGGGATTTGGCAAGATCATACCGAGACACTCCTCGTTTCAAAAACACTCCTCGTTTCAAAAACACTCGAGCTGATGTTCTAAAACGAATTGGCACAAGCCGTGTGGCTAACAACACAATCATTTATCCAGGTTCGAACGTATGAAATTTTGCAGAAAAGGAAAAAAATGGGGAAATGAAGAGCTGCTGAACTAAATGAAGTTGAAAAGTTTGGAAACAGCATCTGCATCTAGTTAGTTACACAACCTAGGTCATCAGCCTTAGCACTTGAAAAGAGTTGGCTGCGATTTCTAAAGGCAATGAAGAAAATAATCCAAGGCTTCCACTGCGATGTATTTGTTTTTCACGCTACCTGCAGTAACACAAGCACCAGTCGATAAGGAACAAGCAGTACGGCGTTGTCGCACAGGAATTGAGAACTCCACGATATCCGCTACCATCCGCCATTTTGCCTGCTGTATATCGTATACAAACTTCCCAATTCATTCCCTCTCAACAGATTAGCGGAATAGAAGACAAAGGGCAACCATGCGAGCAAGTGGGGTCTACTACGATAGGTCACATTCAAACGGTAACGAGATTCAACGAAGTCTCGAAAGAATATTTGCGACCGCTCTTCCTTGTCTTTAACGACTTGACCTTTTCACGACCATGCACATTGATTTCGAAATGTACGTTGATGTACCTTTTGGACTATACATCCTTATTTCAATGCGCATCCTAAA